CTGGATGCCTGAGAATCTTCACAGATAACTAGACAAGACTTGTGCAGAAGACAGTTCTTGAGGGGTTTTTAAGAAATTATTTCCAAGACATTTTTATCCTGCCATATAAAATATTTGTGCTAATTTATAATAAAAAATCTTAATGGGCCACTGGAAGCATTGGCTTCTCAAGGACATAACGCTGCCATCAGTCTAAGAATCATTATTTTAAACCAGTGGTTCCCAACTTTGGGTCCCCAGATGTTCTTGGACGCAACTCCCAGAAATCCTGTCCGACACACACTTAGTGGTGAAGTTCTTTGGGAGTTTTAGTCCAAGAATATCTACCTAGTGGTGAAGATCTTTGGGAGTTTTAGTCCAAGAATATCTGGGGACCCAAGGTTGGGAACTGCTGCTTTAGACAGTCTACATAATTAGCAACCATCATTAAAATATTCAGGCAATAGAGGCATGCTGCCATAATTGATAATTGACATAATTGATAAGGTGCCCGTGAATTACAGTTTTCATTTAGGAGATTTTTTTCTTAAAGTACCTTTTCAACTGGTAAGGGAGAATCTTCCTGAGAAAGCAGACATAAGATGTTAAATAGTCAGAAAAGGATTTCAGTTTCACAGTTGTTTCCTTTGGAGAGAGAAAAGAAACGGCATTTCACATATTTACCACCAACTTGGTTTTCGACAGAGAGTGTGGGAGCAGGAAAATCAGTTATTACCAGCACGGTGACAGTGTCCTCCGTGATGCTCTCAAACAACTGCAGCATTCCTTCCTCCAGAGGACGGACATATGATGCATTTTCATGAAGATACTGTGCAAACTTAAGGCAGAGAGACCTATTAGTGCTTCTGACTCATTTTTGCTTATCCAGTCATGGACACAATAGTCTTGACAGACCACACAAGTTGTTTAATATTTTTTTTTACTCTAAAACCGTCTGGGCTTTGATGAGAACAGGGATTAACTGCTTTAGAACAACAACAAAGGGAAGGTTAAGGGGGAGAATCAGAAATCCTGGAAGACCCTGAAACAAACTTTATGCAACATATTTGACTACTAGACTCAGGATTTTAAAAATAGTTACATAAGAATAAGACGTGTGGGAGACAGTTTATCAAACCTAAAGACAAAACTATTGCAGACTTATGAAGAGAGACTGCAATATTTGTTTGCTTGTTGCTGAAAAAAAAAATACCAGTTGATACATTCCCCTACAGAAATGCCTCAATCTAATACGTCATCTAAGAAGGCTGATTACCTGTAACCCACACTTGCAATCCAGCATCTGCAAGATGTCTAACAGTTAAAAAGTTTAAAGCAAAAGCAATGCAATAGAAGAGAAAATAACTATTGAACTAAAAAACAGCAACAAAAACTCAGCAGGCAGGATTCAAAGAGGCAAGACAGCACCCCTCCGCTGCTTAAAAAAAAATCATTAAAAAATTAGGTGGTCTTCAGCCAAAATGACATCAACAAAAAAGTCCAGGCACATCACCTTTGGGAAAATACTGCAAATGCAAAAGCCACCATCAGAATGGTTTGCTAGTGCTGGACCTCAAGACAGCCAGTACATATGGTGAAGGGTCTCAGATTATTAACCCAGTGAACATGTCCCTGAATACCATAGTGCATGATTCAGGGACAGAACACTATAGCCAGGATGTCAGGAATGGGTCATTCTGACACCAACCACTTGAATGTTCAAATTGGAAGTGTCAGGCACCAAACCTGAAATATAACATGCTTGGCCCAGTTCAGGTTATAGCTGTTCAAAGTAAATTCCAACTTAGCCTACCTTCTGATTTAATGGCGATATTGTGTCTGTGGCAGAATCAATAGGGAAAATCTGGACCCGTTGTTCCGTGTAGGTGTGGAAATTCAGAAGAGCCGTCACCAAATCTTGAACAAAGGCCAGCGCTTGGCCAGCGAGGTCACGCAGCTTTAACTGCAAGGTACAAATAGCAGTGCAGTGGCTCACTGTTATTCCAATAGAGTGCAATCTCTTTTACTGGAGTACTTTCACAACAATGTTCCTAACTAGAGACGGGCATGAAACAAACCACGAACCAAAAAACCCAACAAACTGGGCTGGTTCATGGCTCGTTTCACTATCCAGTTCGGGGGGGGGGGGGGACCCCCTTTTGGCANNNNGCAAAATAAAATATTGAACTATTTCCCATTTACTGTTTCATTTGCTACAGCAAAAGAGGTACCTGCCTACCCTCCTTCCCACTGTCCCCATCGCATCTCCTGCCATGTGTGCCATCCTCAGAGGCAGTGGGCCCGGCTTCCTTGCCTGCTTCTGCCTCTGAGCATGCATGGTGGAGGCAGGAGCAAGTAGCTTTCCCCCGCTGCCACCCAGGCATGAACTGGAAAGCAAACAGTGAACTGGTTTCTTTTTTTCTGGGAGTTCATGGTGGTTCGTGATTTGTGGTTAGCCACAAACCACCATTGTTCCAGTTCGTGCCCACCCCTATCCCTAAATAACAAATAGAAAGCAGTTATGAAAAGGAGCCTCTCTGATATACCAGTTCCTTAGCCAGAAAACAGAACTGCTGTGCTTTCCATATCTTTTTCATTAACAAAACCAAAATGCATTCTGTGGTGGACCAAAAGAAAATATGACGGCCAGAATCCTGTTGAATTTTACTACATGCATAAGGGTAATCACACAGGCGTTTTCCATGTTTTGCTGCCTCCCCATTGTGTGACCAACTGCACATCTGGGGACACAACTGAGTACATGGAGGACAGCCAGCACAACACACATCACTAGCATGACCTCCCTTTGGCCACTGGTGACTGACTAAGAAGATTTTGGCCCATGTGTCCTATTCTAAGAGGCATGTGCCAAAACTTATTCTAAAAGTGTGGGTTTGTTACTCACTTGCCGTCGTCTACTGTGTAATGGCACATTCAGAGCGTTATACTGGCTGGACCCTACAAGGAAGTCAATTCATAGAATTACTGTAAGTACTTTCCCTTAGGACTCTCTAGTTTACCGTTAAATCATTCCCCAACAAGAAAGCATATTTTGCAAGCAGGACTGCAATAACCATTCTGAGCCCTTGAGACAGTAGACGCTGAAAATTCAAATGAATGATAAGACAATGGCAAATTCATGAACCGTAAAGTATATACTGTACTGCACTTTCTGAATGTTCAAAATGCTTCATGTACACGAATCTCACAAGAATCCATAAACATTGTCCTTTCCTTCTTCCATCAGGAACAGGTAGAGTAGGATTATCACTATACTGCAAGAGGAACTAAGCTCCCAAAACAGCTTATTCAAAAGTCACTGGATGAGTTTATGGCAGAATTGCTGTCTGAATTTGGTTCAAATAGTCTTTAAGCCAGCCCACTGCACCAGCTTTTTTAACAGTTGGCAGGTGGATTTCTTTACAACTGATGCCAAAAAGGCACCTAAGTTCCTTCAGTGCACAAGCGCTAAAACACCATCAACTTCAGGAGTTACACTGTGAAGATACGTAGCACAAGCCACACACCTTAAAGCCATCGCTATATTTCTGGGCCAATATACTCACTCCTAAGGCTAACAGCAGCAATGACATAAAGACCAAATAAAATGGGCAGCAAAGCCAAAGCTAAACAGTGCTTTCACATCCAAATCTACCATCAACGGCAGTCACTGAATTTTAATTTAGTGGCTTTAGAAGAGAAGTAAGCATTATATGGGACGTGGTGGCGCTGCAGGCTAAACCGCAGAAGCCTGTGCTGCAGGATCAGAAGACCAAGCAGTCGTAAGATCGAATCCACGTGACGGAGTGAGCTCCAGTCGCTTGTCCCAGCTCCCGCCAACCTAGCGGTTCGAAAGCATGCAAATGCAAGTAGATAAATAGGGACCACTTCGGTGGGAAGGTAACCGCGTTCCGTGTCAAAGTTGCACTGGCCATGTGACCACGGAAGATTGTCTTCGGACAAACGCTGGCTCTATGGCTTGGAAACGGGGATGAGCACACGACTGGACAAAATTGTCAAGGGGAACCTTTACCTTTACCTTTAAGCATTATGCAGCCTACTGGCCAGATGCAATTCTCAAATCTACAACCCCACCCCCACCCCCCGTCCTGAATAACTGCCTGCCATTCTTACTACAGGACAGAAGGGAGCATTGCAGGAGGGGTCTAGAATGAATTTAATTGGGAGGGTGGCCATATTCTGCCTAATCTATGCTGAAAAGAAAAGTATAAAAATGAATAAATAAAGAATCTGATATAGCTAAGTAATAAACAAATAATGACCTGGTTATCATTACACATGCTTTAGCTACATCTTACTTGGATGATTGTGATTAGAGATGGGGGTATCTGCATTCATATACAAATATCCCCGCGCAGCTGGAGTCCACTCACGTGTCCGGTAGTGGCGGTGGCCCCTCTCTTCCTTCCGGTCCCTCTGGAGCACTGTTCAGCTAGCCACTCAGCAGTCTTGCAGGGAGATTTGTCCTCCCTCCTTCTGCCAGGAGTGGCTAGCTGACCGGGAAGAGAATGGCACTCAGGAGCGACTGGAAGGATGAGCAGGGTCACTGTCGTTGGCAGATGTATAAGTGGACAGTCCAGCCCCAGGGGCCGGACCTTGTCATTGTCATTTATAAGTGGACAGTCTGGCCCCAGGGGCCGGACCCTCATTAACTCCAGCTGCGCGGGGATATTCATATTCATATACAAACATGAATACTCCCATCTCTAATCATGATACATTCCACATAGGACAGCCTTTGAAAAGTGTTTGGAAAAGTCAGCTGATCCAAAATGCTGCAGCCAGACTGCTGACAGTTACAGGGAACATAAAGCTTCTCTGCCACGTCAGGTCCAGTGGCTGCAGGCAAGGGCCTTTTTCTTCAAGCAGGCTTTTGGTAAGTGAGCAGCCTGCTGAGAATAGAGCTCTTAACAGGGACTGCTTCCCTTCTTAAAATGTTTCTGACATGTTTAAGATATTTTTAATGGATTATGCATAGCTGAAACAACACAGCAATGATGAATACATACAGTTTACAGAAATGAAAACCCTCTTGCAAAGCCAATTACTCTCATAATTTTGACCAGGACTACAATACCCTTGGTAAAGGGACGTGGTGGCGCTGCAGGTTAAACCGCAGAAGCCTCTGTGCTACAAGGTCAGAAGACCAGCCATCGTAAGATTGAATCCATGCGGCAGAGTGAGCTCCTGTCGCTTGTCCCAGCTCCTGCCAACCTAGCAGTTCTAAAGCATGCAAATGCAAGTAGATAAATAGGGACCACCTCGGTGGGAAGGTAATGGCATTCTGTGTCTAGTCACGGTAGCCATGTGACCATGGAAACTGTTTTCGGACCTACGCTGGCTCTATGGCTTGGAGACGGGGATGACACTGCGCCTTAGAGTCAGACACGACTGGACTAAATGTCAAGGGGAATCTTTACCTTACGATACCCTTGTCTGATGGCACTTTAATAATAAAGTTTCTTCACACCCACATCACATGGAAATGGAAGTCACCAATTTATAATGCAGTTGCATCACAACATCGGGTAACTCAGACCATAGGCTGTAGGCAGGGGGTAGAAAATCAATACAGGGCTAGCACTTTTAAGAGGAAGCCCAACCTTATTTACAAAGGACAATGATATCTATTTAAAATTTAGTTTAATATTTGGCGGGGGGGAGAAGTTAAATTAATTTCATGATGAATCAGAATGAAAACTTCTCAGTATTTTCACTTTTTCATGCATTGTTCTTTTACCAATCAGCAAGAGCACTGGACATAACACCTACTTGTGTCGTTGAAAGGTACTTTTTCACTAATGATGTGCAAAGACTCCTTCAACCTGCTACTCAAGTCAGAATGAAGATGTTTTAGCTGCTGCTGGCTGGATGAGAAAAGAAAACAACAATATTAACTATTTACCAAGGGGTATTTGCCTTTCTCTGCGTTTTTGTTTTTTTGGTAGGGAGAAACTGAAATGGCTGGAGAGAGACAGTTTTCCAGTGAAGGAAGTATGATAAACAAGCTTCAAGACATCAGATGAGCCAAGAATTGAAACCGTTACTTGTCTTAGCAACATCTGTTACTGAAATGCTCTTTATTCGAAACGCGGCTCCTCTTTCTACAGAACCTCCGCACTATCAACACCTTTCAAATGACCACAATAGATGTCTAGAACCCAAGTTAGTATGTCCCACCATCCCCCAATACAAGCTATATGAGCTAAGACTGATGGGAGAAGCAGTCTAACAACATTCTGCGGGGTGACAGGAGGGCTAACCCTAAGTTAGAACATTCCACGGCACCAAAGCTGAAGGCTACAGGCACTTGACCAATAAGCAGCACCTTCCACTTTTTTTTAATATTAATGTCAAGATTATAACTTATTATATCTTACAACTGCAGAGCTTGAAAGGACCCTATGGATGATTGAGTCAAGCCCTTGCCAAGGAGGCACAGTTGGGAATCAAGCTCCCAACCTCTGATTCCATAGCCAGATACTGAAGCCACTGAGCTACGCATGATGTTGGCCTTAAATCAAAATTATCTTTAAATTGATTGGACACCTGTTCATTGTAACTGCAAACATGAAAATTTCACCCTAATCTTAAAAGTTATCGCAGTGAAACTTCACTTCATTTCAGCCAGTCAGCTGTGCACCCGCCTCTCATACCTCAAACTTTTGAAAAAAAGATGGGAATTCAACCTTCTGTTTCCCTAGCAGCAGTCCATTTGCCACTAAATCAGCTTTAGAGGAGCCTCATGCTCCAGTGGCTAAACTGTAGTACTGCAGCCAAAACTCTGCTCATGACCCAGTAAGCTAGCTTGAGGTTCAATGGCTAAACTGTAGTACTGCAGCCAACCTCACATGACTTCAATGTTCTAGAAACAACAGCACAGTCCACCCAATAGGTCAATAAATTGAGTACCCAGAATGCCTGGGGGTGGAGGGAGAATGTGTAGCCTGCATAATCAAACTGTAAACAGCCCAGAGGGTACTTTAAGTGCTATGGGGCGGTACACAACCAGCACATTTTGCTTTTTGCTTTACAGGCTCTAGTTTGGCAGCACAGCTCACCTCGCATGACTTCAACGTTCTAGAAACAACAGCACAGTCCACCCAATGGTGCTGCATCTCATCTGCATAAGTTTCCTACAAAATTTATATGCATTCCATGGGCACTCATAGGTTCCTATTATGCATATAAGTAATGCACAAACAGTTTTTTTTAATATGTAATTTCCCTATATTCTGAGCACACACAAAATGCTGTCAAGCACACTCCAATGTAAATAACACCCAAGCTCTTTAAGTAAATGCTTTGTAATTGTATCTATTGGTTGCACATCTAACCCTAACAAATCATTATCATCTCAGTGTAATGTTAGTCTTTACATATGTGTCTAGTAGCTGAGAAGAAATCTCCTAATACCCTTCAATAAATTAAAATTCAATTTAAGAAAGCTTACCATTCTTCTGTTCGAACCCTGCAGTCCTTGGCTTCCCGCTCTAAGGTTTGAGTTTTGATCTAAAAGTGTGGGATCAGAAGGAGGGAGGGAGGAAGAGAAAAACTGTCAGCAGTCATTTATTACAGCCACACTTAAACCCTGAAAGTTTTAGTCTTTTAAAAACTTATGAACCGCACACCTGCCCCAAATGCCACATTAAGCACTGAACATTACAAGCAATAAAACCATAGTAGTATATTACTCACTAAAAACTAAAACAACACCAGATAGAATGAAACTAAAAATAGGTCATGAACATGATCACAAGGGAATGGGTAATTGAGAAAGCAAGCTTTTCAATAAACCCAGAGGCCAAAAGTGGCTGTTTCCCAACAATCATCATCTCAGCTTACTGAAACAAATTAGGAACTATCCTCACAATCTCCCAAACAGGGACTTCAGCCCACTCTTCATGCGATTGCACAAAACACACAGCAAGCCTCCAGCTTCACAGTATCCTATTATATTCAAACCAAAAACGATGGCCAAAATTGTCAATTACACATGATGATGATGATGATGATGATGATGATGATGATGATGATGATGATGATGCAATCACTGAAAACCTCTGTGACAAAATGCCACGAGTCTGGGTAGGCATGTGCTGTCTGTTGCACATGGAGACAAAGGACTTGATGCACAATATCAAACGCCTCTGCCAACATCACTTGTGGCAATTTGCCACCGAGACTTGCACTGACTACTAAGATGAAAACATAGAAGTAGTAGAATTTTGGCCCATGATTAACCATATCCAAACAGCCGAGTACAGGATGCCACTGTTTATAAAAGCTGGCTTTGTGTTCTAGTTTGTTCAGAAGTCATTGAGTATAGTTTCCCAGCTCAAGTAACCGGAGTTGACTGAAGATTTCCAATATCACTCAAAATAATATGTGAAATTGATACAGATAAAGAAACAGAAGGCTAATTCATGATTCAGCTTGGCAAAAGGCAACAACTGAATGAACCAAGCAAGCCTCGGCACACAGACGGCCATAAGAGAAAATGTCTAGTTTCAAGACTTACTTCTAATTTGGCTTTATCACTTTGCAGTTTTTCTATGGTGTCCATGTACTTCCAAGTTAGGCCATCCACAACGGCTTGGTGTTGGGCAGCCTCCATCTCCAAGACCTCCAGTCTGTTCCTTAGCTCAGCTTCCAAACGCTTGTGTTGCTCGTCTGCCTCAACAAACTACAACGGGAAGGCAAGAACGGAAAAGTAGGCATAGTGCACCTCTCTGAGAGAACAGCTGCACAGATCTGGTCATTGCAAAGGAAAACACAGCACCCACCACCAGCAACAATCAGGATTTCCTGTGGGTACTTGTTTCAGAATCTTAAAGCAGTAAGCAATCGTAGGTCAACCAACCCCTGCCAGGCATTCCTATTAAGTTCATCTTCCTGAATCTGCCACTGATTGTTGGGGAAAGCCATCTTTCCCTCCAGATCTACCTCTATTGTCAGAGAAAATGAAGTAGTCACCTCGGGCAGCAGAGGCTGAGAGATAGCAACAAGGGGTTGAGGAAAGAACGGTGTGCCTTGCAGCCTGCCCCATGCCTACTGCTTTTGGGTGCAAGACCAAACACAGCTAAATAAAGATTCAACCAGGAGTCCAACCCACTCTTAAATATGGAATAGGAGAGGGGAAGCACCATTTTATTATCTATCCCATGCAGCAAAATGACATGGGATGGCCATAAAAAACACCACCTCACCTAGTTTATTATTAACCTTTATAAATGCTACTAGCAGTCTTGATCATCTCTCCCATGCCATATCTTGTCATATCTGAAATAATAATACTGAAAATCTGGGAACAGGTTATGAAAAATTCAAACAGTCAGTGTTTATATGGAATGACTTGACTCTGCAGTGTTTCTTTATGAAGAAGCAGGAGGCATGTCTTCTCTTTGCCTGCTGCCGAACATTTCTCATAGTAGAGGGGACAAGGAAAAAACTTGAATTAGAACAGTGTGTTGATAAAACTAGTTGCTGTAGGGAGTGTGTATTTGTATCCTGCCTTTCTCCTTAAAAAGCTTATTGTCAACTTTTAGCACTTCATCATATCTTTCCCCAAACGTAACATCAAAAACAGAACATTTGAGTCCCTCCTCCATAAGTAACCTAAGACACTGTATGTTGATTCTAGCCTCCCATCAGCTATAGAAGCTGAATAAACAGGTAAGCATATTAAAAATAGGGGAGCCATGCTTCCTGAGGCTTGATTGCCTCTGCACGCATTTATGAACTTTTATTTTTTAACTCTAGCATTGCAGAAAATACGCTGTTCACAAAGAAATGTATTTTATTTTATTTAAATATTTGTATCCTGCCTTTCTCCTTAAAAAGAATCCAAGGCAGGGTTAAAATAAAAACAAAGTCCAAGTCCGTTATGCACTGAGCAGAGTCTGCTTTGATCTGAACTTGTACATTGAGCAGGAGATCAGACTCAATAGTCTTACAACTCAATTATCCGATGACTCTGTGATTTAGAGCACCAGGTTTAAACTGCCAATCAGCAAGGAACTTAATGGGTAACCTAGGGCCAGTTGCTCTCTCTCAGCCTTGCATCACAGGATTACTGTGAACATTCACAGGAAAAAAAGCAGCATGAGATATTAAGGAGCATTGAGAAATAGGATGCAGATAGCCTTTGTATTTTTTGCTTTATATGCACTTTTTCCAGTTTGCATGCTAGTTGAGGTTGCAAAAGTGCCTAAGGAAGAGAATTCTCTTGCTAGTCCAGACACATATCCTATAGACACATGCAGATCTTCTTAGCTCTCCGTTATGCCCTAAGGGAAAAACTTCATTTCCCTGTATTCCGATTTAGACTAAGTAAAAGCCCTGGAGAAACACTTTGATCAGAATCTGGAGAAAAGAGAACAAATGTAAGCAAGTCGTTTTTCTGAAATGTAAACGTGGAAGCTTTTCAGTGAGAACTGAAACAACTCTGAGAAAGACAAGAACAAGATGGGTGGAGACATGTCAAAAAGACAGGAGTTGATTGCAAGGAACAGAGCAACGACTGTTGCAGAGTAACACTCCTGTGTAACCTGAAAGCCGACCAGACTCTTTCCTGGAAGCAGAGCTGAAATATAATCATGCTACGAGATGCTAATCAGATGACAGGTCAAGTCAGCCACAGGTCACTCAACGTTAAACCCATAGCAGGGTGACACCAACACCCTCTTTTAAGGTCAAACATCTTCAGTGATCCAAGTCACATGATTACACACTCCCTACAGCAACTAGTTTTACCAACACACTGTTCTAATTCGAGTTTTTTCCTTGTCCCTTCTACTATGAGAAATGTTTGGCAGCAGGCAAAGACGAGAAGACATGCCTCCTGCTTCTTCATAAAGAAACACTGCAGACTCAGCTTTGCCCCAGCCAAAACAAAGTGGGGGGGGCAAGATTCTCTTTGCATACTCCTTAACCACTGTCTCCATCAGCACAAAGACACACAAGAGGGGAAGCACAGGAAACACAAGGAAGAGGCCCTGATCCCCGTTTACTTCTTTGTCTCTGCTTCCTTGCATATCAATGGTGGCTGATCTGAAAAGTTAACAAATGGTGCTGGAGAACCCACTTGTGACCCATGCTGTACATGTATAGATCACTCTGGATCTGAGTTACTACATTCCTTCCACTCACTTAGGACAAACTGGCATCTTCTATTTTTATTAGTTTATTTATTTAAGCTATTTTTTACCCTGCCTTTTTGCTCAAAAGGATCCAAGGCGACTTACATCATTAAAAAGACAATATTTAAAAGCTAAAACCAGTAAGCATAGAGATATTAAAAAAGAATCAAACTAGTATTATATTTAAAATGATAAATCAAATCAATACTAAAAATACATTTAAAGGGAAAAGGGAACACAACAATCCACTTTAAAAATCTCTTTCAATAACTTCGAAACATGCTCTTGGACAAAAGACAGGCTAGGTCATTTAACTTTTTAATGTTTACTGAATTTAGACATTTCTCTAGACAAGTGGAATGTTTTTGAAGCACCAGATTTTGCTGGCTCAAGCCAATTTATCATAAATAAATTGTATACTGAATCAACTGCATGCTCTGGCCAAGCTGCCTGTTGGGACCAAAAAGCAGCCCTCAGTATTTTGTTGCAACAACCTTATTTTTTTGAATCTTAGAGGTTTAAAGCAACTTTTTGATGTACTGGATACTACCAATGTACACACCTGAATATGCAATCGCTCATTCTCTTCAATCTTCTTCTGAAGATCTTCATCAAAGACGTTTTTCTGTTCTTGACTCAGCTGAGATGTAGGCTCACCACTTTTCTAATAGAAAGCAAAAGATTTCTGTTTAGTGAATGCACTTACCTACTACTGCATACCACAGCTCCTGAACATCATTGCAAATATCCATTTCTTATTCCCATGTCAGATCTGCTTATTTTCCCCCTATATGTTACCAGTACTAGATCAAAACAGACTCAACAACTGGCATTACCTGCAGTTCAAATTTCACTTGAGGCTTGGTGGTTTTCTGAAAGTCATTTGCCCATTTGCAGTGTACTCTCTGAACTAATACTGGCTTGCTTTACACATTGTCAGAAGTCCTGAAATACCTTATACAAGGCATTTAGGAAATGTGATTATTAGTGAAGTCCTTATACTGATCCCACAGAACTATATACAAATGATAGCATCCTATCCAAGCAATTCTTTCTCCTTTTATCCTATTTATAATAACAACAACCTGCAGAGCTGGAAGGGACTCTATGGATCATCAAGTCTAGGAGGCACAGTGGGGAATCAAACTCCCAACCTCTGGTTCCACAGTCAGAGACCCAAGTCACTAAGCTACCCAGCAGTTCTTTGTATCCTGCCCTTTCTACAAATAGTTCAGCATAACAGGAGAGGTGTACATGGGGTCATCCCATTGCAGCCTTCCAACTACCTACATAAGAGGGATTGGAATGGCTTGGCACGATCCACAACTCAAGAGGGGCCTGCTCTTAGGAGCCCCTTTGGGGCCTCTTCCCCACTATACCCCTGAAGTCACTCACACGTGGCTAGTAGCCGTTATTTTCCATGAATTTGGCTAAATGGTTTTTTAAAACCAGTCGTATGATATGAAAAACTTTCTGTTCTGATTCTCCACCATTGAGGTCCACAGGATAACACAGATTCTAGTATTAGGGGCAAAAAACAAACTCATATGATTCAGTTTCAAATAGCGGTCATGCCTGCCGGATGTCTTTTTTCTCTCCTAGCTAAAGGGCCCAACATTATAACATTTCTGGAAGGGCAGTAATTCCAATCTCATGATACTTTTGGTAGCCTGCTTGCAAGCTAGTCCTGCTGGATGCCTACCTTGTTCTTCTTGCCTTTAGATTCATTTAACGAAAGTTCATCCTGGAGCAGCTCAACCCTCTTGGCCAGTTGCTGATTTCGGAAAGTCAAGCTGTCCATTTCCTGCTGCAGCTTCCTGAGGGATTGGTCCTTCATTTTCAGTTGCTCCTGCATTTGGTATCAGAAGTTGCATCGCATCAGTGTTTGGCATGGACTGGTGTGGTTTTTTTTTACAAATGAATTAACAATTTCAGTTAAAACCCAGCAAGTCATCCTAATGAAATCTCACTTCCTGTTATGTCTTTTCAGAGCAGCGAACCTGTAGTGCATTTTGTCCAGCTGGGCAGGACCTACTTAGGAAAAAGCAAATCCACGGGTCTACATTCAAAGATCTGTAACAATTTACTGATCTGTTACTGCAGTTGAAATACCCTTTTGTATTCCTAGTTGTACTTCATTATATCAATAAATATTGTGGCAGCTGCCATTTTACTTCACCAGCAAAACTTGAAAACTATTTCAAATTGTAGATAGAAGCTTAGCATAAGGAGGTGATTTTTGCTTCTACTTAATAAAGAAATAAAGAACATGAATTCCTAACTACCAGTATCATGTTTCAAGGAATCAGGTTTTACGGATTTTCTTGTGATGTTAAACTGTGACTCAAAATAAAACTGATTTTGTAAAAGAAACCTATGCTGTCCCCAGCTGTGCTCTCATTACAGGTTCAGCCGCTTTGGAAGGACTACTGAAGGGCTGGGCAGATGTAGTCCATTTGCCGTTCCTCCATCTGTTTTAAAGGTGAAAATATAATACACCCAATCCACAGCAGTTAAACGCCTAGAAGAAACAAAGAGGCGTGCTTTATGTGGCTCAAAGGCATTTCACGCCTGCTCTTTCAACAGATGATTCAAACACAGTTAAGTCAGCAATGTGCGGATCAGTTACAACCATTCAATGCAGATACTCTCACCCTAGGAAAGACCGTTTTTTGACAGGGACAATGATTTGGCCACATGTTTGCCTGTTACTATTTAAATTGTTTTTTTTTTCAGTGACAGCAGTCAAGCTGGACGAAAGAGATGAGATTCTGTTCCTTTTCTACAGCCACCAGTTAGCAATCGTCTCTGGCCTCAGCAGGGGTAGAATGGAAGGCTGGCTTCCCCTTTTTGCTATTAGCGATTGGGAAGCCTTTTGCAGCAGACTCCTTTGAGACTCCATAAATATATGCTGTATTACAGCTACTTCCAACCCAAGATCGGAGAACTTTTGTCAGCCGAAAGACCAAATGGAATTTCAAAGACGTTCTCAGGGACAGCCCTGCAGTGGTGGCCCTAGGAAAAACACTGACCCAAACGCATCAGAATATTTTAGCTAGTACAGATCAGCAGCTTAGCTATAGGGAAAGCATTTCAACCTTTTAGAAAAGGAAAAACTGTGCAGACAATTGCAAAGCACCAAACAATTGTGTAATAGACAAGAGGTATGGACCTCTCCCTCAAAGGGTTGGATGGGACCCCAAGACTCTCCACCCGTCTTCTGAACAACAAGATTTTCCAGAAATTACCTTGAAGCCAACTCAGGTTTGCTATTTGACAGAAAGTACCACTAATTCTACATGGCAATGTATCACCTATTCAAGCAACCAAACAGAGAATCAAGCTGCTTTTTCCTTTAATAATTGAAAAGCATACCTTCAAGGCTGCTGAATTTGCTTGCTCATCCACAACACCCTTCTTTAATACTTGATTCTGTGCACGAAGCTGCAGAAGAGAGGCAGGGAGAAATCATTAACCCAGTTGTGAAGCAATAAGGTTACAGACCCCTGCAAACCTCTTACCTACTTCCCTACCAAAATATAAGTTCATTTAGGGGACAGCATAAAAGCATGAGTGCCTAAAGAAGGCAATGTAATGCTGAACCTAAGCAAATTTTAAGTTTTTAGAAGGTTATATTTAGCCTGCTACACCTTTCAAAACAGGAAAGGTATTTCCAAGTTATTTTACTTGGAAGATATACCTTGGTTCAGTCATCGACCCTAATGGAGTCTGCAGCCAGGAAATCAGAAGAAGATTGAGACTAGGAGGGCAGCAATGAAGGAATTAGAAAAGGTCATCAAGCATGTGCCACTGGAGACCAAAACCATCCACACTCTTGTATTTTCAATCCTTTGTGGGTGTGAAAGCTAGACAGTAAAGAAAGCTGTCAGAAAAAATAGTTTAAAACATAGTGTGATGCCCTGGATTGCCAGAAAGACAGTGGTTCCTAGACCAAATCCTGCCTGAGCTAACCCTGGAGACAAAAATGTTGGACTGAGGCTGGGGACATCATGAGAAGGTAGGAGTCTCTGGGGAAAAAAACAACAATAATGCTGAGAAAGGTGGAATGCAACAGGAAAAGAGGAAAAAAAATACAAGATGGACTGAGTCCCTAAAGGAAGCCACAGGCTTGAGTGCTGAGCAGGGCAGTTGAGGACAGGATATTTTGGAGATAACTTATTTATAGGGTTGCCGTAAGTGAGAGGAGACCTGTTGGCATATAACAACAATTTCCAAGCTGAAACACAGAACTTCAGGTACAAGTCTGATTCTGGATCCTTAAGCACTTTCAGCTATAATAGCTCAGAGGACATCAATCCCATGGAAAATCTGATGGCAGGTTTCATTAATGCCACAATGATGAAACACTGGGATCAAGATAATTCATTGAGGATATAAGGTTTCGAGAGTGAGACACTGTCACTTTTATAAGGCAGTTTTCCATATGTGAACATTTGATTGTTTATGCCCACTGAGATTAATAATCTTGGACAAACTCTGATGAAAAATAGCTTGCAATTTGAGAATATAACAAGAGCCATGATAAATGAGACCAAAGCTCCTCAAGCACAAGTTGTCTCTGGAAACACAAGGGAAATTGCATTTGCAAAGTGGTCTTAATCGACTAGATAGGCGGGATATAAATAAAATAAAATAAAAAAGCAGGAGAATGATTGTTTGGGCTCTAGGCCGTGTGTTCTCAGTTGACATGCACTGATCACAAGACCAAACAAGTCTGGCCAATGCCACAAACAGGCCGTGCATACCCCAGAACTAGGGATAGCAACTCACAGCTCATAAGCATCCCCTTTTATCTTTTCTTTTTGGACCAACAATGCTCGCTCCATGAAAAACAAGGTTTTTCTGTTTCCTTTAATGGCTTTTTTTCTGGTCCGCCACTAGAAATTGACAGATAAAATGTGACCATTATATTTGCTGCCAAATCATAGTGGACGTACATCCCATTTTAGGTCCTGGGGGGCAAAACTGGACAATTTCCACAGCAATGAAGCTGATGTAGAGAATATTTTCTGTAAAAATAAATGTAACTGGTTTAATATGTTTTCAACATTTCATTTTAAAGTTCATATTTAAAATTTTAATCATATGACATTAAGTACATAAAAACATTTCTGAACTAGGTGAAAGGCATACCTAATCCAGTATTCTGTTACCATAAGTGGGAATCATATGCAACTTGGAAGTTAACAAGCAAGACATTATTTTAATAGCACCTCTCACATTCACCAGCAACAAATATTGAGAGATATACTCCTTCCAGTACCAAACATAACAGCCACCTTGACTAGTAACCATTGATGGCCTTATTCTCCATATATTTATATGATCTTCCACTAATGTGTGTTTCTTTTTCTTGAGAGAGAAAAAATCAACTAATTCTTTTTAGAAGGGAGAGAAATTAAGGGACACAAGTTCACACTTCAGAAATGTATTTAGTAGGTAATACGATGGTAGACTTGATGCAAAACTTTATAGATAAATCAGGGGAGGTACAGAAAGAGTGTAGTCAGAAAATAATGCAAATGTTAAGAACAGAAATACTATCGCAAAAATAACGAGTTATTATGGAGCAATGCTACAGGTCAAAGTGGAATACTAACTACTGCTTGGACAGGGAATGAAAAAACCTTTCCGCCCCTTGCTACTACTACTTGTTATCCAAGAGAGTATACTTTTATAAACACAAATTGAAGAAACTACAGCTGTTTTAATGTATTATTTAAAATGAAAAGAGCTGGAAGAAAAGGCATCCTTTTAAAAAAAGGAAATATTCCTTTTGTCTTGATACAAGGCAGGAACGCAAAACTTCCAAACATTTTAGTGAAGATTATTTTTACAATTTGTCCTTATAATTTTTCCCCTATAACATACTCACAGAAAAACTGGGCAACAGGAAGCGGTGGAAGCCTTCCAGAAATTGAGATTCGGCACCCCTCCACCCGCAAGAATTACCCCCATATACACCCTTCGCCGCCTCCTTCATCACGATCGAGCTCAAGTGGGTATGTTTTCAATATCCCAGCCGGAGAATTTGCAATGTGCGGAACAAAGGAAAGGGGAGCTGTTTTTTCCTGATCGGACCAGGGTGTGCGTCTGAACACATCTCCTGGGCAGGGCAGGGGGGGGGG